GAACAAATCTCAAAAAACTTGTTCAGTCTCCAAGGCTGTACTTTTTCCTCCCCAGGAATGTCCATTCATTACGTCACGTTGCGCGTATCACAAAAAAGTTTGCGAAAATGGCGGCGGACTGTAAATCTGTACCGAGCCAAATGGATCACAAGGTAAGGTAAGAATCCCCAAGCACAGGCCGGAAAAGAATCGAGAGAGACGAGCGAGCCGAGCGCTACGGAATTTCTTTCAGCCCGGAGAGAAATACGGTTTTTGACGTTCTACGATATATCCGGTGAATCATCGGACGAGCTCGAAATTCCGGGGAAACCTGCCGCGGCCGCGGGACGCTGTTGTGACTCACTTGGTCGTGAGATGTCCACCGGCCGGTAACGCGCGTACGCCGTACGGCGACGCCGACGCGAAGTTTCTCAAGGGACGCGCGAAACTGGGTCGACGTAAATCGAATTTCGTGCGGAACTTTGTGTGTCCGGCAACTCATTACCGGTTAATGTGAAAAACCGTACGAGAGAAATTCGTCGGGTGTATATTATAAACGCGCGCGCGCGCGGCTCATCTGGCGGAAAAGGATTTTTACGAGCGATCGATCGATCGGTATCGATCGTGACTATGAAATCGCTCGAGTCACGTGTCGCGCGTCGGTTTCCAGGAAATGTGTCTAGGCGTTGCGGTGATGCGCGGAATGAATCTTATCCGACTAGGGATCGATTTGAAGCAGTACTTGCAACGAGGAACGATCGACGCTTCTTGGAAATTGCCCCTGCTGCGATGGAACGTAGTAGTAAAAAATAAGTAATTATAAAATATAACAAGTAATAATAAAAAGATAGTAAGTAATAATAAAAAATAGTAAGTAATAATAAAATATAACAAGTAATAATAAAAAAATAATAAGTAATAAAAAATAACAAGTAATAATAAGAAATAATAATAATAAAAAATGACAAGTGATAATAAAAAATAATAAGTAATAAAAAATAAAAAAATTATAATAAAATATATATTATAAACGTAGTAATATTTTAACGCGTTTCAAATGCAAATAGTTTGCAACGCGGAATTACAATGTTGCTAACATTTATGAATTACCTTGGATTATATTCGGTTATGCTTGATCGTTATCAGCGCAGATTTCGCGAGTTCCTGATAAAGAAGCGTAGTTGGCACACGAGATAGTGGAAAGATTACAAGATTTCGAGAATGCTGTTACATTATTATCAACCTGTTAATTTTCATTGAAGAAAAGAAGAACAAACAATTTTTATTATTAGTTATCAGTGTCTCGATACGCGTCTATTATATCGTTCATTCTCAGTGAGATTAATATCTTCGTCGCGAAAATTTTATTAACTATTCTCACATCGCTTTTGTTCGTACAATTACACGTTTCAATTTATAATCAATAAATATAATGTTTTTGGAAAACGTACTTGTGTCCTGTTATTATTGTATTATTATATTATTAATATTAATAACAATAAACAGTAATTTTAAAGAATTAATCAATTTGGCATAGTGTTGCTATTTACACCAAAGCAGGGTTTATAAATATCGTAATTTTTCAGAATCCCAAAAATTTCATTCCATCACTCTCCCCCTCCCCCCTCGGAAATGCGTGTATAAACAGTTCGCGTGCATGTGCTATAAGGCAGAGTTTTATCATACGCGGTATGATAACATCGCTGCATTAATATACACGTGCATTTGGACATATATACTATAACCAGCTGTGCAGCAGGCCGACTGCGGCCACTGTACACTCGGCAACCAGAACTAGATTGCGTGTTATGAAAAAGAGGGTGTTTTTCTGCGGACCGTTTTACGAGTTCTTTGCGCAGCGGTACATATTAGTATCGCGATCGTTCAAAAAGCGTTAATAATTATGACACAGATACACACAATAGAATTTTCATGGGATCTGCAAAACACTTCGTCTTTGCTTTCATTTAACAATTATATATTCCCCCCCACTACGATCTCAATTTCGAATTAATAATTTTCATTTCAATATGTTTCGGTTTGCACATATTCGTGAACAAGAAAAAGTTTTTATGATCAATTCTAACGAAATTATTACAGAAAATTGACATATTTATTCAAAATATATTATTTTTATATATATAATATTATTTCAAAATATATTATTTATAAATATAATATTACTTCAAAATATATTATTTATATATACAATATTATTTCAAAATATATTATTTACATATATAATATTATTTCAAAATATATTATTTACATATATAACATTATTTCAAAATATTTTAACTTTGAAATATTTGTTCTGTACACCCATAAAAACTGAATGCTCCACAAATAACCACGAATCTGACCACAACAAAAGCCCAATTTTTCTTCCAAATATTTTTATTTTCGTTCGTAAGAAACCTAAGAACCGTCCGAAAATTTTTTAAACGAAAACGGACCAGCCGCCATGGATCAAAGGGTTGGTCCGAATTAAATAGCTAAGAAGCTTCATTGAAAAGCGTGCATACGAGCGCGTTCGCACATTATCGACCGGCGTGATAAAAGAATTCAAAAGAAACGATGTGGAAGATGGAAATCCCTGGACGTATCACTGCACTGCGGGTATATATATATATATATATATATATATATATATATATATATATATATA